GATGGATGAGGCTCTCTGCGAACCGGGAGACTATTGATTCCCGGCGAGTAAACACTGTAAGCAAATTAAGTGGCTGCAGTGATGATAATAATAGCAATGCCTGCTGCTTGTCAAGCGTCTGCTCTGTGCCAGGCACTGGGTCCCTCCAGCAATGACAGGGGCAGGTCTTATTACCCACTGTGACCAGTGAGGAAACGGAGGCTCTGAGAAATACAACTGGTTGGCCCAGAGCCGCAGAGCCGGTGGCAACGGGCAATTCCAAATGGATCTAGCAGCTCACAAGGCCCGGCCCTCCCGGGAGGTCAGGGGGCACACCGTCGGGCTTCAGGTCCAGAGGGCACAGCTCACCTTGGTTGTCTTATTTCACCAACAGCCAGGTTGGCAGGGAGACGATGGGGCCCCGTGATAGGCGAAGGAGCTGAGGTCCTGGGAGGCGACCATTTGCCCAGAAGTCAGTCACACGCTGGTTAGGAGTGAAGAAAGGAGTAGACTTCTGGCCCACAGATATACCGAAAGCAAGGCAATGGGACTAGCTCCCAGCAAAACACAGCTGCCTACAGTTGGCTCTATTTGTGTATTTTTAAAAGGGAGACTGGCGAGGGTCTAGCATACCAGTTCCAAATGGAGACTTTCTTGTTGTTGGAATTAAAGGAACTGGGAGCGGTTTGAAAAGGAGAGGACTTTCGCCCTGGCCGGTTTGGCTCAGTGGACAGAGCGTCGGCCTGCGAACTGAAGGGTCCCAGGTTCGATTCCAGTCAAGGGCATATGCCGGGTGGTGGGCTCGATCCCCAGTGAGGGACTTGCAGGAGGCAGCCGATTAATGACTCTCTCTCTCATCATGGATGTTTCTATCTCTCTCTCCCTCTTCCTTCCTCTCTGAAATCAATAAAAATATTTTTTTAAAAAAAAAAGAAAGAAAAGGAGAGGACTTTCTCACCCTAGGTTTCCGTGTCACTTATGAGTGTCAGGAGCCACCTAAGTCCCCTGTGATGCCAAGGGAAGCCCTTCCACCTCTCCAGGAAACGCTGGCTGGTGACTATGCTTCAGGTAGAGGGTCCAGGTCTGGGGCAGAGGGCATACCTGGAGGTCAGAGCCCAAGCTCAGCTGACACCTCGTGGAGGAGGCCCGAGGTCCAGAGGGACAGCCAAGGCACCCGCATCCAGGGCCTGAAGGATGCTGGAGACCAGGCCAATAGCTAGGATGCAGAATAAGGCTCAGGATCTGTGTTTAGCTGCCCCTGAAACAATGGGGTGGGGGAGCGGGGGAGCGGGACCAGAGGCTTGATGGCCTGGAAGCTGGGTCAGCCAAACCAGACGGGAAAGATGTGCAAAGCTCCCTCTGAACCACAGGAGGATCTTTCTAATTCACACTGACCTCAGGAGGATCAGGGGCAACTTATAACTAAACACGTACAAGAAGAGTGACTCGTTACAACGCGCTCAGGGGGGAGTGGGTCTTTGCTCCAGGTGGGGCCTGATCGTGGCTCTGAGCATCCTGGCGGCCACGGCGAGTAGAAACACAGCTGCACCTGCTTAGAGTGAGTGGTTCATCCCTCCAGAGGGGCTCCTAGTTCCAAGGACTGTTTCCAGGCTGACGTCGGGCACACTCGTGAGCAATGACCCTGACGGCAGAGATGCTGAGGAAGCCGCCTGCCTGTGGCCACCAAGCAATCCTGGGTGCTCCATGGCATTCTCATGGGGGCACTGATCTCAGAGTGTCAGGTCATCCGCTCTGTGGTGACAGGAACAAGAGAGTCCGAGAAAGGCACCAAGTGGTTCTCCTATCGTCCCTCTTTCTCCAACACCAAGAATTTAGCCTTTGACTTCAGCAAGGTTATCCCACCAAACTCTCGGATGATCACAACTCGCACCTATTGAGCATGTCCTACTTCCTAGGCCAGTGATGGCGAACCTTTTGAGCTCGGCGTGTCAGCATTTTGGAAAACCCTAACTTAACTCTGGTGCTGTGTCACATATAGAAATTTTTTGATATTTGCAACCATAGTAAAGCAAAGATTTATATTTTTGATATTTATTTTATATATTTAAATGCAATTTAACAAAGAAAAATCAACCAAAAAAATGAGTTCGCGTGTGTGTCATAGGTTCACCATCACTGTCCTAGGCCCTCCCAACACTCTAGGGACCAGGCACCATGACTACCCTCCATCTTCTATCCACAGGGCAGAGCCGGCAAGATGTGATCTGGGGGCCACACTGACCCCAAACTCTGCATCTCCACACTAGCCCCCCAGTTTCTTGCTCTAGTGACTGAGAGCCCAGGCTTACAGGAAATACAAGACAAAGAGAGGGGGCGGGATTTTATACCCAGAAGCCTGGCCCAGCCCCTTTCCCAAAGGAAGCCCATTCTCTCCTCGGGGCGGTGAGGTCCCCCGGCCCCTGCAGACCCCCGCTGTTTCACCGCTAAACACCGTCCCCAAGGCCTTGGGCCTAAATGGATTCTAGAATCCTACACAAATGTCTGAGATGCCCCAGCCCCAAATGTTTGTTCTGTTGGCTCCAAAGAATGACCAGAAAACACCTTCAAAAAAATGCTTAATGAAATATCTACAAATGTGACATGACTGGGGTCAATGGCAAATCAACCCTTCTATGGGGTGGACATACTTTATTTATCTGTGATGAGGCTTGTTTGTATATGAGAGAGGATGTTGAGATTGTCTCAAATAAAGAGTCCTTAGGACCTACAGGCGTGTTCAAATGACCCTGCCACAGACGGAGCAAAAGGCCACCTGAGAGTTGAGAATTTGCCCAATTTGTGGCCGAGCATTTAATTGAATTGGGGCCGTAGGAAGATAGAGTGTTTGCCTCCAAAGTTCTGGGGACAAGTGTCAGGTGCTTGGCTCTCCTAAAACAAAGACAATAGAGCAAAGCTCTAGGCAAACGTGACTTTGAGTAATGCCACTTGTTAAGTTAAAAGGGTGCTCAAATCCCCCCTCCTCTCCCCTCCACACACACAACACACCTCATTAGCTAAATGAATTGACCTGCTCAATGGGGTTATTTAATATCTGCCTATGACTTGGAGAAAGCCTGCCAAAAACGAAATCTCGGTTTTGACATAGTTGACACTAAACTCTATTTTTTTCCTGACTATTATTTGTCAAACAGATTGCTGAGCTGGGTACAGCCCCGTCTGCAGAGTGTAAGGCCCCATCAACACAGCTCTTACTCGCTATGACAGCAGGAAATGTGGCCAATTAATTTAAAAGCTGAATCCCGTTGTTGGGACCTGAGTCAGAAGGAAGGGCGCCAGGATTCCATGCCATCTCCATCACTTTAAAAACACAACTCAGGCGCCCGAGAGGGATTCCAGAAGTTTCAGCAGAATCTAGGGCCTTAGAGAAACATGCACGGCAGGACCAGGGCCGTCCGTCCTGTGGCTTCAGAGCCCAGGACTGTTCCAATGAGTCTCCAGTTGTTTCTTCCACTTTCCGCTGTGAAACGACTTAGTTTCACAACAGAGGGCAGTCCTATGGGTGTGCCTCAATTCTTCTTCTCCCCTTGAGCCATATCCCAATCCCCCAAAATTCAAGCCAACACTCAAAACCAGAAGTTATATCAAAAAGTCAGATTTCCAGCTCTAGACAGCTTGGAAAGATCTGGCTGCCTTTGACCCACATTTCTGTCAGAGCTGAGCCATGGTGCCCTCTTCAGACAGGGGAGTGTGTGTCAGTTTGCCTCAGACCTCACCTTTCCCTATAGTCTCCCCCACGCAGCTCCCTCACCCACACAGCAGGTCTGTACCTTGTGTGAGGCACAGAACCTAGAATTAAGCATAGACGCTGCCCCATAAGGTCCTGCAGTGAGTTGGGTTCCAGCAAGAAAAGAGAAAGCTGGTGGGAGGTGGTGCTGGGGCCATTGGGGATGGGACACACGGAAAGAAGGTGCCAGCTCCTTCTACCAGCTCGTCACCGTCTTTCACACCACCACCTCCACATTCACACCACCACCACATTCACACCACCGCCTCCACATTCACACCACCGCCTCCACATTCACACCACCGCCTCCACATTCACACCACCGCCTCCACATTCACACCACCGCCTCCACATTCACACCACCGCCTCCACATTCACACCACCGCCTCCACATTCACACCACCGCCTCCACATTCACACCACCGCCTCCACATTCACACCACCGCCTCCACATTCACACCACCGCCTCCACATTCACACCACCGCCTCCACATTCACACCACCGCCTCCACATTCACACCACCGCCTCCACATTCACACCACCGCCTCCACATTCACACCACCGCCTCCACATTCACACCACCGCCTCCACATTCACACCACCGCCTCCACATTCAATGCCAATGTGCTGCCTTTCAACAAATCAGGCGCCCTGTGGAAAACATGTTTGGAGAGCCAAGCTCTCCCCCGACCCCACCCCACCCCGACTCAAGGCTCAGACCCCTCAAGGATGGCTCAGGGAAACTTCTGGAACATTACTAGCTGTGGGAGCCTTCGGTTCTGTGACCTTTACAAACTGAAGCTCACTGCACACGGCCTCCTGGCATTTGCCAACACGCGTCTGTAGCGTAACAGCAGAGCTGCTCTGCTGATTGTTGGGACTCCGGCCACCGGTGCATTAGACGGCCTCCGGACGCGGGACAAGGTAATTGGCCTCATCACCCTGAGTGGCGTTATCAGGCACCGCGTACAAACAGCCTAAAATTAAAGCCTGGCATGGAGCCTATTAGGGCCGTAATGGGTTACAAAATGAACACGGCTCACCTATTTCTATCAGCTCCTTCCGCAGGACATCTGCAACCAGGACAGATAATTTACTATCTGATTCAGATTAATTGCCATGTTTTCCTGCCTTCCTGCTCACCAAGGGTCACCGTGGACCCGAGCACTTCAAACGTTGCCCGGCTCAGCTTTGCCCAGCAAACATCCCGTGGGAGCTCCGCCGTGCTCTTCTCCTTGGGGCCAGACCCAGACGCGCCTCCCTGACAAGCCTGGCTCAGGCCTTCGGGCCCTTCGCCCCTGGCTTGGGCAGCTGGGTGGACAGGAACATTTGCTGCTCATCCTG